ATATATATATATGTGTGTATATATATATATATATATATATATATATATATATATATATATTTATACACATGTATACATACATACACACAACTTCAAAATAACATAAATTCTCAACCTGTACTGAAAACAGTTTCTGTGTCTCAGCGCCACCAGCTGGTGAGAGGCCGTGACGTCAATTTGAACCCCGCCCACTGGAACCGGCACTGAAAGCATAATGGAAACACAACCTGTACCGTACCGAGTAGAGTAGAGCCGGGCTGTACCGGCCCGTACCGGTACTAATGGAAAAGGGGCATTAGAAATGAAAAGATGTATTTGAACTTTGAGCAGTGATGGATGAACCATGTGAATCAACATGAGACCTGATCAAAAGTGTCAGGTACTGGGGCCTCGTTTAAACAATGCGTACGCACATAAAGATTGCGTGCACCCGGTTCCATGCACAGAACAGGATGTATTCAAACAAACATTGTTTGAAAGTGTGTGTAAATACAAGCACATTGTTGTTCTGATGTGATAATGTGCTTCATGCAAACCTTTTCCGTTCAGAGTATCAGTCTACAGAGCTCACCTAAATGCACCAAAAACGTCCGCTTGCTTTCCTGAACTAACTGATTTTAAAACGGTTTTCTCAAGAGTTTGAGCATTTCTGCTTTTTAAATGGAACATTATACAAAATAACATAAAACACGCCTCCTACAGGATCAAAACCTCCTCACTCCAATGTAAACTATAAACTTTCTTACATTTTTGTCACACTCCGATGTAAACACGTCAATGACCGCACGGCTGTGAGGCACACAGTCAGGTGATGCACGTAAAATGTGTTTGAATGGTCTAAGGGGAACTTTCATTCTCACTGAAGAACACCATGTCTGATCAGCAAATTAATTCAGAACAACTCAGCCGTGATGATTCCTCGGGTTGATAAGGTGCACACCATCACACGTCCATCAATAGCTTTTTAAAGTTGTGCATAATTGTGGCACAATGGCAGCTGTGATGCTGTTGTATCCATATATTCAGTATTTGGCTGCAGTCAAGTTTACAGTTTTCACTACAGCCACATATTATTATATGCTGGTTTATTAACAGTCTATGAAAAAATCAAGAAGATACAATGTTCAAATGATTGCTCACCAGGAATTGGATGTAGTTTTTGTCGTCTTTGAATAAAATATCCAAATGTTGACAGCAAAAAGTCTCACAGTGTTTCCTCCATAGTTTTTCTTCATGTTGTAGTTTGAATCAGTCTTTTGTTTGTTTGAATTATTAGTGCAACCCTTCTAGATGGAAGCGTGAACAGTAGAGCCCGACCGACATGGAAATTTTGGCTATCACCAATACCGAAATTGGGAGGGGAAGGTGCCCGCCAGTAACCAATATAATGGCTGAAAATATTTTGAGCTTTGTCCAACCCAAGAAAACAGCGAGTGGAGCGGGACTTTATTTAGCACAGCTGTTAGCAACCACGAAGCTAAGCAAATCAGATCTACTCTATACCTAGACCCACAGTAGGTTTACCAGTGGTGCACTGGTCATAAAAGCAGTGTTAAAACTAAATTAAACAAAGAAACTCCCTTCCCTGTTCATTGTTTAAACAGTCAGTCATGTATGATGAAGGCCTACTTAGTATCGACTGCTCCGGTGTTTTATTTTTCTTTGCAGAGACGTTAAGATTTCAGACAAACAATGCATTTCATTGAGGACCATAAAGATAATGTTACTAACACTGACAGTGTTTCCCCGGGCCCTACCATTATACAAGCAGGGTGCCCCGCCCCGACAACAGAACCGAGCGCCCTGCCTACCGAGCTACGCACATCCCCACCCACCTGTCGGTACTGAGTACTTAGCAGTGTGCAAAGCTAGCAGTGCACAATACAGGCGTGCTAGCTAAAAAGCTAAAGGCAGTGCTCACAGCTGCCTCGTCACTCACGCTGAAACATCCCCCCACACCCCCAGCTCAAAAACTGTCAGTACAAACAGCACAGAGCTCAGACATGTCTCCGTCATTAAAAAAATAATAATAATTTGGGGGAGGGGGGGGATACATTTGAGCTACGTGCTGTTTGGACCAACAGTTTTCGAGCGGGAGGAGCAGGGGCAGAGACACATTTGAGCTGCACACTGTTGTACCGACAGTTTTCGGGCGGGGTGGCGGGGACGTAGACACTGTCTTTAGCCTTTTAGCAGGCTCACCTATATTGCGCGCCGCTAGCTTAGCACTATGTCTGTGCCGATGGGTTGGAGTGTGTGTGCACAGTTCAGTTCGGTAGGTGTAGGTGTAGCGCTCGATTTTGTTGACGAGGCGAGGTGTCCCGCTTGTAAAACGGTAGAGGAAACACTGACTGATATATATTTACCACTACGTTAAATTTATTGTTTTGGATAAAGTTTTACAAGGCAATAGCATGCATATGCTAGGCTATCTAAACGTTAGCTTGCTAACTTGAGAGGCATATAGTTAATGACAAGCAGATTGGAGAATTGAAGAGAATTTATTATTGTTGATTTTTTTTTTTTTTTACAGATCAGTTAAAATAAACTTACCATGCTCTGTTCAGCAAAATACTTTACACAGTATTGCTCCCTGCTGCATCTGTGCTAAATGTGAAAGTGAAACTTAAGGCAACTTGAAAGTAGTCTTCATGTTCCCTCTACTGGATACATTGTACAACAATTACAGCTGGTTTCCAGCATTTTAGGGGTGAAAGTTAGAAGTTCTTGTATTGGCGCATAATGGGACAGTTATCACTGATATCAATAGGTCCCCAAAGGCCATATTGGCCTAAATTATCGGCCCTACCATTCTTCTACTGGGAGGTCTGTCACATTCACATAATTGTGAAATTAGGAGCCCGCTGTTCTTAAAATGCACCTATAGATGTCATCAAGACTCTACAGAAACCATCCATTATGTCTGATGTTTCAAATGTTGTAGCAGGGGTGTCATCTAGTGTGCAGTGATCCTAATTTTTATTTTGAACTACCACACACACTGCTACATCTGATTGATGTAGACCTGCTTTTCTTACTACATATGAATCTGATATTCAGTCTCTCACTGCAAGGTGTCAAGGGTTCATGTTTGCAACAAGCGCACAATCAGTACTTTAGATGTAGCCAGATACACTGATAAAAGTTTTTTTTTTTAAGGTATATGAGGCAGTAGAGGGTAAATAAAATAAAAATAAAGTAGCTTGCCACATACCACAGTGGATAGCCCAGTTAGGGAACCGTCTCATTCTGTGAATGTTTTTCCCATGTTAGGGTCTCAAAAAGGAGTCACTGTTTAGGCCGCCTCTGGTTGATCACGTAGAATCATTTGAGTTTGGTATTTTGCAAATTGCAGTCACTTTGCATTATTCACTTTGCATTATTCAATCTCTCTAAGGTGGACAGCTCATCATTCCAAAGCAGGGAAATGGTTCAGAGCCTAGCCTTTGGACTGTCCTTCCTGCAGCGGATGGACATGAAGCCTGTGGTGGTCATAGGCTGGTCTGAGCACCAGGAATCAGGATCCACAGAAGCGGTCACCGGGTCTTGGCGCACCAGAGGTTTAGTGGAACGATGCCAGCAGCTGACAGAGGCTCTACAGCAACACTCAGCCACCGTCCTGCCTTTCTTCTCTGCAGAATCCTTCCTCAAGCAGCATGAAGCCTCACAGGGAAGCAGGTAGAGATGTAACCGTTGCATTTTGTGTGTGTTTTGAGTTAAGTTTATAAGCTTCGTTCACACAGCAGGTCTTAATGCTCAACTCTGATTTTTGCTCAGGTTGAGTTTGTTGTTTTCTGTGTGGTCGTTCACACTATCAGTAAAGTGCAACCTCCATCAGACGCCACTGTAAACTATTGAGTTTTTGAGGCGACCTGCATGCACAGAAGACGTGACGTAACATTGAATGCACCGTGTTTAAGGAAGAAAATATCGGTACGAAACACGTTAGCATGTATGTAGCGATTCTGAAGTTTTGCAGTCAGAACTGAATAAATGATCCGACATACTTGTTGGGTCCAGTGTTTGCATTTGATCTTGCTTCTTGAAGGATCTTCTGGTGCAACATTGTATTTTTGGAACGGGAGCGACATACAGAAGGTAGAAAAACTCGTCTATCCCGTCACGTTAATATCGATACGGTCTGCCACTAACGTTTGTATCAAATGTTGCTGTATGTGCAGAGTTCTAAGATTTCAACTGCACAATGTTGGTATCATTATCATCAATACTTGAATTGATCCGCATACCTCACTGATGTAAAAGTTGAATTAAATACAACATGATCGTTGAGAAACATCCGATTTCTCCAATTTAGTACCACATTGGAGAAAGGCCTGGGTCGGCAAAGAAATCGGATGGGGGTCGAATATGGGCAACAAAAAAAAAAATGTAGGTTTGAGATGCATTTTCTTTGTGTGAATGAAGCCATGGATGCTTTGGGATCTGTGTTTGCTGACATTTTATTAGTGTACAAGTATTTTGTTTTAGCAGTTCTGCTACAATCTGTCTGCTGCAGTTCACACAGTGCAGACAAAGAAAAGTACCTGCCCCTTTAGTTAAAAGAACTATGGAAAAGTTCTTGCTGGATGAAACTAGCTACTGGTAATCAGTGTTTTGCCTGAATTAGAAATTCTGCCTTGTGTGTGTCAGTGTGTTGAAAATGAAAACTATTTAAAGAGGAATCTGATCAGTTATCAAATTGTATTAGTTGGTTATTTTGAATCGAATGTGAGAAAGGCCAAGTGGAACATGAAAAAGTACACATTACTATTGCAGCAGAAATGATCCGGGCAGCAGGATGCCTCACAGTAAGGTCATGGGTTCAAGCCCCGATTTAGGCCTGGGGACTTTCTGTGTGGAGTTTGTCCAGGTTTTCCTCCCACAGTCCAGAACATGCACGTGGCTGCCTCCAGGCTCAAGTCTCCCTTGCTAAAGAGATCTGGGATCACAGATCTCAAATGGGATTTGCCTGGTTGAATAATGTTAATAATAATAATCTGGTTGGATAATGTTAATAATAATAATCTGGTTGAATAAATGTTAATAATAATAATCTGGTTGAATAATGTTAATAATAATAATCTGGTTGAATAATGTTAATAATAATAATCTAAGTAAAACCTTATGACCCAGTTTGTTGTCAGTTTAACAGCTGTGGTTAGAAGTTTATATCTGCTCATTATAGACATGAATATTATAATCATGGGCTCTTATTGATTTATTTGGACCAGTCTCTTTCTAAGATGAATGATTTTACAACAGTGAACTTCAAAGGCTTTTAAGAACAAGAATTGGGTGCAAAATTGAATTGTGGATTTTTGATGATCCACATGGGCTATAAATTATACGTACAGCTTAATATGAGAGAAACTTGCAATGTTCTTGTTTAATATTGCAATTACAATGTCCACTGTGATAAACACACATTTTCCTCACGGTTTGCTTTTTTCTTCTACCAGTAAAATATAAATGAGGAGGGGCAGCTAGACTAGTGACACTTTGTTGGATTGACAAAATGTATGTAGAACATTAACTATACCTAAAATGTAAAGGGCTGATTTTTTCTCTTTTTGCAATCCAAAAAGTCATTTTTGATATTTATACTGTGCTCACTGATTTTGATATGATGAAAAATGTATGTATTGTGCAGCTTAAACTTAAAGAAACCCAGATTTGGAAGAAAAAAAACGAAACATTGTGCAGCATGTACTGTAAATGAAAACATAATGATTTGCAAACATCATATACACATATAGTATTTACAATGGAAAATAGTAAACATATACAGTAAATTGTTTAAACTAAGAAACTGTACCTTTTTATTATTTTTTATGGCAGCAACACATCTCAAAAGTTAGGACAGGGTAACAAAAGCTATAAAAGTTAGTTTTATGAGTAAGAAACAGCTGAAGTCAAATAATGTCAGGAAGCCTCTGTTCACATTTTGTGGTAAAATGTGTTTCCTTAAAAGTCTTTTTGTGATTAAATGTTGATTCCATGTATGAAGATAAACAGACACATCAGACAGAGAGTGAGCAACAAGAAAACATTTATCAGATAAAACAAAAAGACGAATCTTCCAAATATTCCCAAGGGTTCAGTTCTCATCAGCTGAACAGACATTTTTCTCTTTTCAATTATTCCACTCAATTAAAAAAAACAATTATCCATCCACCATCATCTGTCCATTGTCTTTACTTGCTTCTTCCTTTTTGGGTTGTGGGGGTCACTGGTGCCCATGTCCATTTGTTACTATGCGAGAGGCGGGGGACACTGGACACGTCTCCAGTCCATCACAGGGACACATGGAGACAAACGAGACAAACAACCATTCACTCTCTCACTCACACCTAGGGACAATTTAGAGTTACCAATCAGCCTAACATGCATGTTTTTAATCTGTGGGAGGAAACCGGAGTACCTGGAGAAAACCCACACATGCACGGAGAGAACATGCAAACTCCACCCAGAAAGGCAAAAAACAATTAAAATATAATAACCATAAATGTCTAAATGAATATGACGGCCAATACAATGTATGGATGGATGAATTAGAGTTCAGCGAAGGATACTGTGGTCTATACTTTTCTAACCTGAGCTTTAATTCCCATCTCTGTTTTTTTCTTCCATATATTTAGATGCTTTTATTTCTCTTTAGCCCTTCACCACATCCTCAGTGATCCCTGTGTTCATGTACTTGTCATGTCTTTCTTTTTATCTTGCAGTGCTCCTCCTTCCGTTGCGATTGAGTCCAGCCTCCTACAGTGGGGTTTGGACTGTGGGACCATCCCGCTGGTTTGTCCTGTGGGGGTGGACGGGCGAGGTTGCTCGACAGTGCTGGACCCAACGGAAGTTACAGCTGCCATCTCCCGAGCCCTGCAGCCCCACAAAGTCATGTTTCTGAATAGCTCTGGAGGCCTACGGAGCCACAAACACAAGGCATGCTGCGACCACTTGTGTGCATAAGAAATGTCTAACGTGCTCATCATGCACAACTCATAAAGTCGACATGTCCTAATTGTATTCCAGGTGCTGGACTCAGTTTCACTGCCTGCCGACTTGCCTGGTCTGTCTGTGGCAGAGTGGCTGAGTCAAACGGAGCGCCGCAGAGTGACTACCATCGCCAGACTTCTCAATCAGCTGCCAACTGAATCTTCTGCTGTGATCACCTCAGCAGACACGCTGCTTACCGAGCTCTTCAGTCACAAGGGTAAGGCCCGTGACACAGCTAATGTAACTCATGTCCACCGGCATGTAAACATGTCTATGACAGTCTATTTTAAGTTGTAACCCAAGAGGGGTAGTATATTTGTATTTGTAGGCAAAGGTGTTTTTACCCACTAAAATAGACTTTTTAACACAAGTGCAATGGGAGTGGTGATTTCAATATTCATGTGGATGTTGAGAGTGATAGCTTAAGCATAGCCTTTAATAATTTCATAGAGTCACTTGGTTTTACCCAAAACGTCCGCACATCTACTCATTCTTATCATCACACTCTTGATTTAGTTCTGACCTATGGTGTAGAGATTAAGGACTTGGTAATAGTTCCTCAAAATCCTATTCTGTCCGACCATTTTTTAATAACTTTGAGTTTACGTTAAATGACTACACAGTCACTGAGAGTAAATTTCATCTCAGCAGGTGCTTATCAGAAAATGCTGTAACCAAATTTAAACAATCTCTTCCATCAATGTTTTCCTCTGTCTTGCAGAGTAATGCATCAGAGAACAGTGACTTAGATCATCTAGTTGATCATCTTACAACTTCAATGCAAACTTCACTTGATAAAATTGCTCCACTGAAAAAGAAAGTAATCAATCAGAGGAAACTGGCTCCTTGGTTCAATTCAGAGTTACGTACTTTAAAGCAGCATCTAGAAACCAGGAGAGAAAATGGCGCTCTACTAATGTTCAAGAATTTTATTTAACTTGGAAAGATAGTCTGCTAACATACAAAAAAGCTCTCCGTAACGCTAGAACTTTATATTACTCATCTTTAATAGATGAAAATAAAAATAACCCTAGGTTTCTGTTTAGTACTATTGTTAGACTAATTAAAAGTCCCTTTTCTGTTGAACCATGTGTCCCTACAACTATAAGTAGTGATGACTTCATGAGATTCTTTATAAATAAAATTATTTCAATTAGAGAGAAAATTCAAACCATCCTTCCTTCTACTATCTCTAGTCCCATACCATACCATTTTATTTATAAAGCACTTAAAACAGCGACAAGACCAACCAAAGTGCTGTACAGACAGAACAACAGGTAACACACAAAGCAACATACAAAATGAGGTAAATCAGAATATAGACATAAAAACGATGCAGATAATGACGACAAACCAGCGCGGAGCATACAGGTTCAAATCACATATCCTCAGGTGCTGAAAGCCACCGAATAGTAGTGAGTTTTTAAACGGGACTTGAAAACCGAGAGGGAGGGGGCCTGTCTGACAAGCAGAGGTAACTCGTTCCAGAGTCTTGGTCCTGTCACCTCTGCATCCCCTGTCAAATGAGGCAACTTTAAAAATTTCACTAGAGCCTTATTTATGTTTGGACAGTTTTTGTCCTGTTGAGCTCTGAATTGTCAAAAACAATAACGTCATCCAAACCATCCACATGCCTGCTAGATCCCATCCCAGCCAGACTGTTTAAAGAGGTATTCCCCCTAATTAATGTCCACATTTTGGATCTACTTAATTTGTCTTTAATGGATGGTTATGTACCACAGCGCTTTAAGGTTGCTGTAATTAAACCTTTACTTAAGAAGTCTGATCTTGATTGAAAAGGAGTGGACCAACATTCCACAGGTCACAATCAAGAATCTGATCAACTCTTCAAAGTGTTACCTGGACCTGTCATTCTATGTTTGTTCATCTGTCTCTCCTTCCTGTCCTCTCAAACCTCGTCTGGTCGAAGCAGGTGGTCACTTGTCCTGAGCCTGGTTCTGCTGGAGGTTTCTTCCTGTTAAAAGGGAGTTTTTTCTTTCCACTGTCGCCTTGTGCTTGCTCAGGATGGGAGACTGCGATAAAGTGAAGATTCAACACAATCTGCTGGTTTCCTTAGACAGAGAACTTTACTAATTGTTTTTTTATATATATATATGTGAATGTTTCTGTAAAGTGCCGAGACAACTTGGCACTATAAAAAAATCAATTGAAACAAACTGAATTGTTTTTGTCTGATCTAACAAGGTTGAGTCAGGTCCTCTGCACGGATTTTTCTTTGTTGAAACATTTCATCTTTTATTCTAAAGACTGAAGAGCTGCAACAAACTCAGCCTTCTAAATAGCACCATGTCATAGTGGATCAACCAGATTGATGGTTTTCTGCCATTTCCATCATTACACAGGGGCAGAGGCCTCTGCGTTCAACTGTCACCCTCTTACATTGCTGTTATTGCATCACTCAGCCCTCTGTGAATAGCAAGCGGCCATCAGGTAAATGTACTGTACTTATACAGCGCCTTTCTATCTTATTTCAAGATACTCAAAGCTCTTTACACAACAATCTGTGCCTCATGTACCCATTCACACAGCACTCTACTAGATCTCTACAAAGCTAATTGAACAAATCATTCTAAAGAGACTAATCAGAGCTTAATCACATTCATTCACTGATGGGACACACATCAGAGGCTGTGAGGGGTTCAGTGTCTTGCCCAGGGACACTTCGGCATGTGACTGCTGGTGGATTCGAACCCCCAACTCTTGCATTGGAGGACGAGTGCTCTAACCACTCAGCCACAGCCGCCCCTTGTCGGGGCACTAACGATCACTTGTTAGGTTGATGGTCCTCCTTTAGCATGTGAACAACTAGTTTTGGATGTCACCAACAAACTGGTTGATCCACTTTGAGGAGGTGCTATTTATAAGACTGAGTTTGTTGCAGCTCCTCAGACTGAAGAAGTCTTCTGGATAAAAGACAAAACATTTCAACACAGAAGAACCCGTTCAGAGCACAAGACTTAACCTTGTCAGATTTAAGTACGTGGATTATTGAGCAGCATCACAACACTTTTGTCTGATTGTTTTCTCTATTTCAGGATCTGGGACGCTTTTTACAAACGGAGACCCTATACACCGGTCAGTAAACAACACGTAAACCTTTGGAATCATACCAGAAACCTAAACATTAACATTCAAATTTTAAAATAATTTTTCGAAAAAGGACAATATTTTTCCTCCCATACATCTTTAAAATGAATATTAATTTAAAAAAAAGAAAACATTGTGATGAAATTCTTAAAAAGCCAATACAGACATTATACAGTAGATGTTAAGAATACTGAAATTACAACGAACATTCTTCTCTGAGGTGCAATGTTAATCTGGGACTTCATTTAATAATTTAAAATGACAAAATAAGACATTTGATGTATAAGCTATATATAAAGTGTAAAGATAGCCAAATGTTAAAGTTGCTGCCAGTGGCATTACCTGACTCTGACAGGTCTTTTAGTAAAATAAGATGACAGAAATGTAGAGCAGAAATTAAACCTCAAACGGTTGCATTTGCTCATCACACTCCATTTTTGATGTTTCTACAATGTTGTACGTAGGAGATATTACAATTTTAAAAAGACTGTTCACTTCCATAAAAAGGTTTGAGCTGATGAAACCCGATGAGAGTTCTCATGTCTTTCTTTCACACTTTGTGAAATATACATTTTAAAAGAGGAGTACACACAAGATGAAGTTATCTAAACACGTTCTAAAATTAAAGAGTAGTGGTGCTTGAAAGTTTTTCTACACTTCTACATAAATATGACCCTAAACATCATCAGATTTTCACTCAAGTCCTCAAAGTAGATAAAGAGAACCCAGTTAAACGAATGAGACAAAAATATACTTTGTCATTAATTTAATGAGGACAATGATCCAATATTACATATTTGAGTGGTAAAAGTACGTGACCCTTTGCTTTCAGTATCTAGTGCAAAGGTCACCAACCTTTTTGAGACCGAGAGCTCCTCACAGGGACCGAGTGACACGAAGGACTTCTTGTTTGATATAGGGGAGCACCGATTGCAGTTTTCTGTCCGATCACTGATTTCTACAAAGTCTGATCTGCTGATTCTGATTTTGGCCGATACTGATTTAGTTTAATAAGCGACACTGTCAGGAGTTATAATGTCACAATGCACCTTCAAGTTTTCAATATTATTTGATTGAGAATGATACCCTTGAACAACATCCTAGACACAATACAGACTCTTTTTAACTGGCCATGAGGTAGTGCTCTGAAATATAAATGAAGTTCAGACAATTGTTGTTAAAACTAAAAAAAATCGTTACAGTAGGTTTTTCCTGTAAGTATCGGACGATTTATCGTGCACCCCTAGTTTGATACAAATATAAATTTGCATGACTCACCTTTAATTTATGTATTATTAATAAATTTATATATTTCTGAATATATGACGATGAAGGTTAAGGCTTCCTCACAATAATTATCTATAATGATTGACCATGGCAGATCTGATCAATTATTATTGATAATTAGTGATGAAAACTCAATCGAGAACTCGAGTTCTCAGTTTGAACCACTGTGTGACTACACCTGACTAATCTCACCTTCAGATTAACTGATAATCCTAGAGGTTCACATACTTTTACCATCACAAATATGTCATATTGGATCATGTTCCTCAATGAATAAATGATCAAGTATAATATTTTGTCTCATTTGTTTAACTGGGTTCTCTTGATCTACTTTAGGACGTGTGTGAAAATCTGATGAGGTTTTAAGTCATATTTGTCAAAGTCAACCTTCATATCTGGACATTTCGTGGGTCGAAGATTAAGATTTAAGGTCACGGGGTCAAGGTCAATGGTCAAGGTATTTTTGATTAGCTGTAATATGATTACAACTGGACAGATGAATGTCCACCTTCACAGCTGGAGGCTCATCAGATTCTTATTGACTTTAGAATGAATGAATGAAAGGTCAGGGTCAAGGTTACTCCTGTTAGCCCTATTCCAAGGTCATGGGGTCAAAGGTCAATGTCAAACATTACCATTTTCTTTAAAGAGCTTAACTGATAGCCGTTGTACTTAGAAAGATCAGCTTTTACCTCTGGACACTTCTTTGGTCAAAGATGGCCTGTGTTTATTTCATGTTCAGAGGGTCAAAGGTCACCCCTTTCTTTAAATCTAATTTAATAACTGTTTAATGTTAAACTTCCTAGGCTCAGGCTTTATAGGTCAACAATTATTCCTATTGATTTCAAAGCGAAGGAGTCAAAGGTCATCCGTCCATCCATCCATCCATCCATCCATCCATCCATCCATCCATCCATCCATCCATCCATCCATCCATCCATCCATCTATCCACTCAATTATCTTTTATCCACTTTTTCCTTGTCACTTTTATCAAATATCTCTAAATAAATAAGCCTTGATATTTTCATGTCAACCTTCACTTTGACATCTCATGGCTCCTTTCAATATCCTTCTTTTACTTCCAGATCTTTTTATTCTCTCTGCCAAACTCAGCCTTTTCTGCTCTTTTCATCTACTTTCATGCTCCATTTAGCATTTTTCTACGTATGTCTGTAGCTGTCAGGCTGCTTTCCACTTTCATTTTCCTGCTTTAAGCTCATTTTAGCTGTTCTAATTCAACTTGCATTGACAGTTCAGAGTTAAATATATTTCATCTTGTCTTCAGCTTCTGCAGCAGCTTTCAGCAAAATCATTCAGCAATAAGCATTCACACTGTATTTTTGGAGGAGTTGCAATTTTTCTCATTTTCACATAATTCACATTTCAGGTTTTGAAAAGAACTAAATTATTGTGTTTCAATTTAAGTAAAGTGACATTTTTTTAGAAAGTATAAAAGTAACAAAAAACAAGTATAACGTACTACGCCTGATGGGGTGTACTGACAGTTTTGATGTATGAATGATTAAAACAGCACAAAGTATTCAGAAGTAGTTTGAAAGCAGAAAAACACAGTAAACTATGAACAGGAGTGCAAATGATGAGCATAAAGATTCTCAGTCATCCAGGACATGGTAAATCCAAAAACAGGTTAAAACTAAACAACTGGACTTTTTGTAACTGAGGACGTTTCGCTTCTCACCTCATGTTCTGTAAGCTTGCATAATGCAGATTGACCAGGGTCAATGTTGAACATCCACACAGTAAGAGGGTTTCAATGCTTGTGCACATGCACCTGCAGTTAGATAAATGAAACCGATTGCTTTGACTTGCACCCGAGCTTTGTTTTAGAGGACATGTTTGCTGTCATGCAGGTACAGCTCTCTGGACGAGATCGATGTGGAGCGTCTGCTGGCTCTCATCAACAAGTCGTTTGACAAAACTCTGAGGCACGACTACCTCAACTCCCTGAAAGGACGAATGCACTCCATCTACCTCTCTGAAGGGTGAGTGCAAACATTTAATAAATAAAGGGTTTAAAACATGTTGCCATGTAAAGTCTGAGCCGTCTCAGAGTCTTTAGAATTATGTTCAAACATTCTGGAAAATGATTGTGGCTGCAAGATGCTAAATACAAACTATTGTGTGTTTGTGCCCCTCCAGCTACAGTGCAGCAGCCATCATTACCATGGAGCCAGTGAACGGTGGCACTCCTTATCTGGACAAGTTTGTGGTGAGCAGCAGCAAGCAGGGACAGGGGACCAGTCACATCCTGTGGGAGTGTATCCAGCAAGACCTGGGCAAACTGTTCTGGAGGTCCAGAGCAACCAACAGAATTAATCCATGGTAAGACACACACAGACACCTTTGGTGGACTTATTTTAACTGTTACATACATCATCTATCCATTATCTTTATCCACTTCTTCCTTTTCGGACCGTGGGGGTCACCGTTGCTGTGAGTCACTGTGCGAGAGGTTCAGGGACACCCTGGACAGGTCTTCAGTCCATCACAGGGACACATAGAGACAAACGAGACAATCATTCACTCTCTCTCTCTCACCTAGGGACAATTTAGAGTTATTAATCAATCTAACATGCATGTTTTTAGTCTGCGTGGGGAACCAGAGTACCCAGAGACAACCCACACATGCACGGAGAGAACATGAAAACTGCACCCAGAAAGGTCCCAGGTCGGGATTTGATTCTGCGACCTTCTCACTGATAGACAACAGCTCTACCAACTGATCCACCGTGCCACCCGCCCTTTACATATACCTCATAAATCAAACCAAACTTTATTTATAAAGCCCTTTTCATATACAATAGCAGAGAAAACTCATAGGTCATTCGAAACGGCAACAAGTTGTAAAAGGATTAACTTGTGACTGTAACCTGCAGTGACTGTAATCTGCAGTGACTGTAATCTGCAGGGACTGTAATCTGCAGTGACTGTAATCTGCAGTGACTGAAGGAAACTCAGATGATGCAATTATGTTCATGAGGAACCGTCAGATATTTAGCCTTGCATCATCACTAGACTGAGGGCCCTGTACACTTTTCATCACCCCAATTCCAAGGTCAAAGTAAAAAATCAATGTCAAACTTAAAGCAACGTCTTTGCTAAGATCATTTAACAATGCTTGATACAAATGTGTACTACCACTACACAACTTGTTTAAACTTTTCATTACCCCAGCTTTAAGGTTATGGTCACAAATCCAGGTCAAAGTTTATGCAAGGTCTTTATTTGCCTGGACCATTGCTATACAGGTCCTTCTCAAAAAATTAGCATATTGTGATAAAGGTCATTATTTTCCATAATGTAATGATAAAAATGAAACTTTCATATATTTCAGATTCATTGCACACCAACTGAAATATTTCAGGTCTTTAATTGTTTTAATACTGATGATTATGGCATACAGCTCATGAAAACCCAAAATGCCTGTCCCAAAAAATTAGCATATTTCATCCCACCAATGAAAGACAAGTGTTTTTAATACAAAAAACACCAACCTTCAAATAATCATGTTCAGTTATGCACTCAATACTTGGTCGGGAATCCTTTTGCATGAATGACTGCATCAATGTGGCGTGGCATGGAGGCAATCAGCCTGTGGCACTGCTGAGGTGTTATGGAGGCCCAGGACGCTTCGATAGCGGCCTTAAGCTCATCCAGAGTGTTGGGTCTTGCGTCTCTCAACTTTCTCTTCACAATATCCCACAGGTTCTCTATGGGGTTCAGGTCAGGAGAGTTGGCAGGCCAGTTGAGCACAGTAATACCATGGTCAGTAAACCATTTACCAGTGGTTTTGGCACTGTGAGCAGGTGCCAGGTCGTGCTGAAAAATGAAATCTTCATCTCCATAAAGCTTTTCAGCAGATGGAAGCATGAAGTGCTCCAAAATCTCCTGATAGCTAGCTGCATTGACCCTGCCCTTGATAAAACACAGTGGACCAACACCAGCAGATGACATGGCACCCCAGACCATCACGGACTGTGGGTGCTTCACACTGGACTTCTGGCATTTTGGCATTTCCTTCTCCCCAGTCTTCCTCCAGACTCTGGCACCTTGATTTCCGAATGACATGCAAAATTTGCTTTCATCCGAAAAAAGTACTTTGGACCACTGAGCAACAGTCCAGTGCTGCTTCTCTGTAGCCCAGGTCAGGCGCTTCTGCCGCTGTTTCTGGTTCAAAAGTGGCTTGACCTGGGGAATGCGGCACCTGTAGCCCATTTTCTGCACACGCCTGTGCACGGTGGCTCTGGATGTTTCTACTCCAGACTCAGTCCACTGCTTCTGCAGGTCCCCCAAGGTCTGGAATCGGCACTTCTCCACAATCCTCCTCAGGGTCCGGTCACCTCTTCTCGTTGTGCAGCGTTTTCTGCCACACTGTTCCCTTCCCACAGACTTCCCACTGAGGTGCCTTGATACAGCACTCTGGGAACAGCCTAATTGTTCAGCAATTTCTTTCTGTGTCTTACCCTCTTGCTTGAGGGTGTCAATGATGGCCTTCTGGACAGCAGTCAGGTCGGCAGTCTTACCCATGATTGCGGTTTTGAGTAATGAACAAGGCTGGGAGTTTTTAAAAGCCTCAGGAATCTTTTGCAGGTGTTTAAAGTTACGTCGTTGATTCAGATGGTTAGGTTAATAGCTTGTTTAGAGAACCTTTTCATGATGTGCTAATTTTTTGGGACAGGCATTTTGGGTTTTCATGAGCTGTATGCCATAATCATCAGTATTAAAACAATTAAAGACCTGAAATATTTCAGTTGGTGTGCAATGAATCTGAAATATATGAAAGTTTATTTTTTATCATTGCATTATGGAAAATAATGACCCTTATCACAATATGCTAATTTTTTGAGAAGGACCTGTAGATGGCACTATTGCTGTATCCACCTTATTCCTAGCCCCCATGCAGCTGTTTTGCGTGAATTATGGGCACAACTTCCGGCATGGACCAGAACCGACGTTTGTTTTTGTGAACAGTACGAGCTAATGTAGTTTCTCTGAGCATTGTGGATTTAAATTAAACATGGAAGAACACCACCTGTCAGACAACAAAGTCCATGCTCAATAATCCAGGTATACAATCCAACATTGTTCAGTCAGGTCAACTGGACAGTTTCTTTTTTTTGTGCTGAAATGTTTCACCTTCGATCCAGAAGGCTTCATCAGTCAAGGAAACACACAACAAAACTGATTCTTCTTCCAACAGCTTACTCCAAAGTGGAACAAACCAGTTCTGCTTGTGATAAGATGGTCTACTGATGAAGCCTTCTGGACCGAAGGCGAAACGTTTCAGCACAAAAAAAAGAAACTGTCCTGATGATGTGACTGAAAAATTTTGGATTGTATACCTGGATTATTGAGCATGGACTTTGTTGTTTTCAACCAGTTTGACACCACTGTCAACAAGGAAGAGGGCTGGCAATGGAGGAGGGCGCGTACCAAAGAGACCATCTTATCACAAGCAGAGCTGGTTTGTTCCACTGTGGATTAAGCTGTTGGATGAAGAATCAGTTTTGTTGTGTGCTTCCTTGACTGATGAAGCCTTCCGGACCGAAGGTGAAACATTTCAGCACAAAAAAAAGAAACTGTCCAGATGACCTGACTGAAAAATGTTGGACCACCTGTCAAAGCTCATACAGAACAAGATAATCATACAAGGGATGGAGGACGAGCTGAAGTGGCTGCAGATCACAGCTACTAGCATCTTTAGCTACATCTACTAGCATCTTTAGCTACATCTACTAGCATCTTTAGCTACATCTACTAGCATCTTTAGCTACATCTACTAGCATATTTAGCTACATCTACTATCATATTTAGCTACATGTACTAGCATCTTTAGCTACATCTACTAGCATCTTTAGCTACATCTACTAGCATATTTAGCTACATATACTAGCATATTTAGCTACATCTACTAGCATCTTTAGCTACATCTACTAGCATATTTAGCTACATCTACTAGCATCTTTAGCTACATCTACTAGCATATTTAGCTACATCTACTATTGTCTTTAGCTACATCTACTGGCATCTTTGGCTACATCTACTAGCATATTTAGCTACATCTACTAGCATATTTAGCTACATCTACTAGCATCTTTAGCTACATCTACTAGCATCTTTAGCTACATCTACAAGCATCTTTAGCTACATCTACAAGCATCTTT